CCGAAAAATAATCCAGTAGTTTTGTTAGCTTTGAACTAATGAAGTATTTTTCTATTTTTTGCTTTGTATCTTGTAGCTGACTGTTATTGGAGTCTAACACCTAGGGCTTTACTGATGTTCTTTCACAGACCAATTTTCTTGCTTCAAGTTCTTTAGAACAATCTCTTTAAGACTGCTTCTCCCATCAAATTTGCTTGCTTTTAGCCATCACGCTAAAAAACTATTAGTGAGGGATACATGGACCTTGTCAAAGAGAATGCAGTCTTGGGAGGCATTTTCCACGCACAGTAAGGCTTAAAATGCAGATCTCCCCTCTCCACCAGAAGGCAGAGTGGGTCTGTGAAAGAACTCTTGAAAAAAGAAACTTGCAGCTTAGGGTATGTCTGGATCTGGAGACGTTTGCCAGCAGTCTGAATTTAGTTGACACTGAGACTCCTTTACAAAGCTCTGGAACTGGGGAAGGACTCTGAAATACGGCTTGTGTGTACTGCAGCTTCTTTTTTGTTGCCAAGTTGATACAGAGGAGATCTAAAGGAAATCCAGATCTGGATCTGCTGGCATTAGGCAGGGCAAGATAGTAAAGCGTTTTATCACGAGCAAGAATTTAGCTTCTGATTTGCTCCACGATCTTTCTGCGATCTCTTATGGATGATAGAAGGGTTGGGTGAGGTAGTTAAAGCCCTCATACAGATGATTTTCAGAGAATGTAGGCAGAATTATATCAATATATAATTTTTACTAAGTCTTTTTTAAACTTCAGAAAAAATAGTTTAAAAAAATAAACAGGTTTAAAAGGAAAAACAAATCCTTGAAGTTTACAGGTGTGAAAAATTTCCACTTGCGCAATTGGTCAATTGTATGTAGCTGCACTCTTATTTTTGCTAACAGAAATGTTGTTCCTGGAACTTAACACTGTCCTTTTTGGCTGTGATCAATAGTTGGCTGCTACACCAAGACAGTCTATTGAACATCTTGATGCTCAGCAACTATTGGTGTTTCTCCCTAAACATAAAATAATTTGAGTTACGAAATCTACATGGTATTTCTTTTCCAGGGCCAGAGCACATACTCAAGGCAGATCAAGCAAGTAGAAGATGATATTCAACAACTACTTAAGAAAATCAATGAGCTCACTGGTATCTTTCTTTCTTTCTTAAGATAACTTTCAATAGAAGAGACATATACCAAAACGAGTGTTTAAAAAGCCGATTTTAAACACCTTCTGCATTAGTTTATTATTGTTATTTTTCTCAAAAGGATACATTTCTTTATTTGGAAACATGAGATTTTTGCTTTGTAGGTGATGATCTTTATGACTGGGCAGGGCTAACCTGTACAAATGATTATGTAACTTTGTAGCTTAACACATTTTTGTTCAAAATTGTAATTTTTATGTATTATGGTAGGATGAAACAAATGCTCCTTTCTGTCATTAGATAATTTGTTGTGATTTTTGTCCAGCTGCATTTGAATACTGAGTGAAATTCCATAGACTGCAAAACCACAACATACTATTATTAAGTAGTGGTACTAGTCCTTGTGTAACAGAGAAACGAGTATCAGAGCAGTTAGCGCTGAAAACCAACTGGTTTAAAATCAGCTGATGAGTTATGGCAGTTACAAGAAAAATAAATTTTTCCCCTAATGTTTCTTTGTTTCACTGAGGTATGTTTGTTGCCCTGTTACTAATCCTCTAGTGGCCCTGAGTTCTACCAGGAAGACCACAATTTCTGTTTTCTAGTAATATCCTTGATTCTTTCAAATACATCATGGAGTTGGTATTTTTTATAGGCACGTTTTGGAAGATTTATTAGATTTTTCGTCTGTGTGAATCTGTGAGATCCTTCTGATATCTTGCACTAAAGCTTCCCTTGGTGAAAACACTTGCAGAATTTCACTCCTTTTCTGAAACTTTTAGGAATATGCTTATCTCTGGTATCTATCAAGCTTGGTTATAATCATCCTCACACTGCAAAAATTATATTAGAGGATGGCTGGAGTGATATTGGCATGTTCAGCTGGCACAGTCACGTAGGCCTCGTTTCTTTAGGAAACTTGTTTTTTAGGAAGTCCATCAAAGAATTGTGTGCATGTGTTTTGGAGATCTCAAAAAGCTTCCTACTGGCTCATGTCTAAGGTTCTTGGTGTGGGAAGGATTGCTGATGTACTGGTTAGCTGCTTCCTCCTCAGCTTGTCTGTGTTGTACGTAGGAATCAAGGAATCCGACACTGGGCTGGCTCCTCCTGCCCTTTGGGATCTGGCTGCTGATAAGCAAACTCTCCAAAGTGAGCAACCATTACAAGTTGCAAGGTAGGTGCACTCTTTCTTTCTGCAGTGGAGCTACATAGTGCTAAAAATGTGATTTATACCTTAGGTGTAGACTTTCTGAAAAAATCAGGTTCATGTGTTGTGCATAGTGAAAGTGCTTATTACCATTGTGTCAAAAAGGAACCGTGTTGTGCTTGATGATGTATTTTGTATTTCATACTTGTACTTATTCCTGTAATTATTGTATGGTGCTATAATAGTAGAATCACAAGTACAATAGCTATTTTAGTGTATTTGGCAAATATGACTGTCTCATCTTGATGCTTATACAAATAGCAAGCCCGTTAGTTTGTCTGCCTGCTGGTGTTAATTGTATGTTCTGTATTAGGTGTACAAAGATAATCAATGCAGACTCTGAGGATCCCAAGTACATTATCAATGTCAAGCAGTTTGCCAAATTTGTGGTGGATCTCAGTGACCAGGTGGCACCTACTGACATAGAAGAAGGCATGAGGGTTGGGTAAGCAAAATCTTTGTACTCTTACAAGTTTTCCTAGAGACCCAAGATTTCTCATCTGATCCACTAGTTTGACAGGTCAACAACTATCGCTTCATGTTTTTGCAGTGGTTGAAATTCTAACAATGATGTCTTTCTGCTGGAAGACTGTAACTCACCTGCATGCTGTGCTGGAATTTATTGATTTTGATGTCATTCTGATAGAAGTATGCATCATGGACCGTGACCTCTTGAGTTTTGGTCTCAATAGTCCCCGCTTTCAGGGAGCCTGTGTAGCCTGCTGCTTCTTTGGCACTCTGCACAGTTACATGCAGGGCGGCCACAGGAAATGTTTGCTGAGGAGGTGAAACCTGTCACTTTTAGAATCAATATTTTTCCAGTTTGCACTGTGGGATATTTTCATATTTAGTTTTCAGAATACTTGGGGATTAATATTTTTTGAAACCTTCAACTTCTCTGCAGAAGGTATTCCAGTTTCTGTCCCATCTGACTATTAGCTTTAAGGGCTGGGCTGTCTTGATGCCAGAGAAAAGAAGAGTTTTAAGAATTCAGCTTTTAATTTACAGAGTTGTTTCTACATGACAGTTTAACTAACTGGTGTTAAAATAATAGTCTTTGTGCTTTCTCACCAGGGTGGACAGAAACAAGTATCAAATCCACATCCCCTTGCCTCCAAAGATTGATCCCACAGTCACCATGATGCAAGTGAGAACTGCCTTTACTTATTATGACATTACTTTGTCTTGTAATTTTGATTACTTTGGCTGGATTTTGTTCTGGGCTCTTGAAAACCTAGAGAGATATGCAGCATCAGGCTGTTAACTGTTCGCTCATCTTTTCGTTGTATAGGTAGAAGAAAAACCAGATGTCACTTACAGTGATGTTGGTGGTTGTAAAGAGCAGATTGAAAAGCTGAGAGAAGTGGTTGAAACACCTCTGCTTCATGTAAGTAACTTCCCATCCTGGTTTTGGCTGGAATAAAGTTAATTTTCTTCCTGGTGTAATACTGGTGTAATACTGCGCTCTGGATTTAGGATGAGAATAATGTTGATAATGTGCGGATGTTTTAGTTGTTGCTGAGCAGTGTTTGTACCAAGTCAAGGACTTTTCAGCTTCTCATACTGTCCTGCCAGCAGAGGCTGGGAGTGCACGATAAGCTGAGAGGGGACAGCCAGGACAGCTGACTGAAACTGGGCAAAGGGATATTCCATACCATATGATGTCATACCCAGTATATAAACTGGGAGGAGTTGGCTGTGAGGGGGGATTGCTGCTTGGAGACTTGCTGGGCATTGGTCAGCAGGTGGTGAGCGATTGCAGTGTGCATCACTTGTTTTGTCTTGGGTTTTATTTATCTTTTATTGTATTCCTTTTCTCGATTATTATTATTATTATTATTATTATT